CTACTACTACTACTACTACTACTACTACTACTACTACTACTACTACTTACTACTACTTACTACTACTTACTCCTACTCCTACTCCTACTACTACAACAACAACAACTACTACTACTACTACGACGACCAAGACTACGACTACTACTGGTGGAGGCCTGTGCCAACTACACTCGGAACATAATCTACAGTACTCGTGGGGCTGAGAAATTCCCACGCCGCTTCTTAAACCGTCGATCGGTGATCGATGGTTTACTCTGTGACGTTGGTGAACCTTTCTACCTGGGAGACCCACTTGGAGCACAGGAGCGGCAAAAACACTGCCAAATGGTGGGTTCATCAGGATTCCCAGTTCTCCGTCTTTTCTGAGTTCCACAGCTCCACGCGATGCAAACAGCAGGCACATCACGCATGCAGGCTCCAAACTTTGCCATCGAATTGCTCCTTGAAGACCTAGTTTCCTCCTCAGGCTGTTTCTAGGGTGCAACGTCTCATGTTTTCTTAGATCATCCCCACAACCGACCCCTGAATGCCGGCCCCACCTGCATGGCATAAAAGAGCCGTACACCGATCTCTCCCAGTGAACTGGCGACCACGGTGATATCTAGCAAGGTCCACCTCGGTGACGGAGGGTTCACCAACACTGACTGACTGTATCGGCGAATAAACAGACCATGACATCTTGAGGCGAATAGAATATGGACCATTTCGACAAATGCAAGCCATGCTCTTTTTTAGAGTCCTAAAATGGACATGTTGTTATTTGTTCCAAACAGCTATCTAAATAAATAGCTGTGTGGCAATGTAACATGGCTTAAGAAGTGAGTCAAACAGTCCAGGGAGATCCTGGTCCTTCTCAACATCAATCAAGTCCAAGCAGCATCCAGTCTTCCGAACACATCTGCTGATAGAAACCTTCCAAACGTCCCCAACAATGGCACAACCGATGAGTTCAGTCATTGACAATATGCAACATAGTGACACAACACACTAGAACCTTATGTAAGTGATGAATTTCTCAATTTGAATTTGGGTCCGCCTTTATGATTGCAGCTGAGTTGTTGGATCCTCAACTGCAGTGGTGGGGAGGTACTGAACCTAGTTATACAATGATAGCTTATTTCCGTTGTTGACCTACGTGTAAGATTAGGCTGAAAACCCTGTCTTGCTCTATGTAATCTAGTCCTTGCTGCTTAAACTCATCCTTTTTGCACGCATTGGCAACACATGGCAATAATACAAGCGGGTACTATCACTAGGCGCTTGCAGAACCAGCACACCAACAAATTCAATAATTGTGTCTTATGTTGGGCTTTGCGTACCCAAAGCCTTGTCCAAGTGTACCAGCAGAAGTTTCAATCTGTGGATTCAAAAACCTTCAGCAATGTCTTGACAACAGTTTCCATATGGAAATAGGGAACTGGGCTGGCTCCGACGGCACACCAATGCAACATCGCGTAATCAGTGCAGTTGTCACAATAGGATACACAGGTCTAATCAGGGGAACGGATAAGCCAGCCACTAGACATGTTCAACCAGGTGAGAGATGTTTTGCTTCTCACACACTTTGGGCCGGCAACTGTGGTGGAAGCCGCCACCAAGAAAGCATTGGGCGCAAATCCACAATGCTTGGCCCAAATGTGGGCATGCGCTACATTTTGCACATCTCAATCTTCAGCCACCAATGATTCCTTCGACAAAGGATGGGGGGCCAAGTGGGGTCCGAGTGGATCGCGTTCGTCGTTCGCACCTGCCGCGCAAAATCGAAAGATCAGCTCCATGGTGAACAAGGCGGCGAAGGTATACTGAGCATACTCCAGTGATGGAGGCCGAGCTGTCCTGAGGCAAACATCGACACCAAAAACAAACACCTCAAGTGCCACATCCTCACCATGTCGCGTTTTGGGTTGCCACGCTTTTGGGAGGTAAATCAATGAAGCCTTAAACTGCAAAATCCATTGAACAATGTTGTATATAACATGTATATATATATATATATAATCACACATGTTTAAACTTACTTACGGGCTTAAACTAGGATAACTAGGGAGCTGGTTTTCCAAACACCCCGAAGTGTGCCGTTCTTTGCAGCCCAAAAGCCCCGAACTGATTTCATCTCAAAAGGTTCTGATTTGGGCTAAACCTGGCGAACTCCCAAGGATCCCCCGTGCCCCCCTGCATCGTTGTGAAAGCCGTGCCGGCAAACAAACGCTAGCTGCTAGCTTGAAACAGCTCTGATCCCGCTTGATTGGTATGTTAAACAAGCTCAGCCGTCGAAAAACCTAACATCTGCGTCTTTAAATCCCCAACATTGTGGCTTTCTCGCGGATTGTTGACTGTCATGACACAAACTCTGTCTCTGTCCTCCATCCGAGACTTTAGAACCCCAACGCATCCGCAGGCCTTTGAATTGTGAACCTGTTCACGGCGAGGCCGGACAAAAAACGGGCCATGAGTTTTCGTTATGAAGGGCTTGCGACCCAGGTGCGGATCGGGGATGCTGCTATCGACATCAATGCCCACGAACACGGCATTCACAATGACCACAATGGCCTTGGTTTCGGTTTTGATCTGGAAGATCCTGGAAGAATTTGATTCGGAAGGAATTCCCTCGGTGGACTCTTGGTGATTTGTGTATAACCACTTGGCACAGTATGTCACAGTTTGAGGATGCAACACTCGTAAAAGAAAAAAACAACACAAACAAACAATGAAGATAAACGCATAATATTTTTAATGCATCCACCTGTGTCGTCAATCAACTTCAAGAACCACTCCTCGCTGCCAAGTGTATAAACTCGCAGCTTCATGTGAGTGAGAAATCACTGAGCATTTGCATGAGATGCTCAGTTTATCCGTTCGGAACACACCAAGGTCCAAGACGACCCAATATTATCCCAGTAATTAAGTCCAAAGACATTGGTAACTCATGTCTCTGACGTCGTTGTCACATTCACGCTCAATCACGGTTGTGTGGTTTTTTAAGGCAGCGTAAGACCATGGCCTTTTCATTCTCAACAGCTAAAATATTTTAAACACGACACCAAACATAAATAGAGCACAAGTTTATCCCCTGATGAGGCCGCCATTTCACGATTCTGTCATGGGTAGGGACTGTGTTTCACGGGTAGGGACTGTCTTTCACGGTTATTTCACGCATAGGTGTTTCCGAGTTATATCAAATATGGAGGTCTCAGGAGACACTGCCTTGTGAAGATCAGTTGATCCAATTATATAAGAATTCCTAATTAAATGTACATTGAATCTTCTAGAGTTGCTTGGGTTGTCTCAAAAGACACTCAATCTCAAAGGCTGCAAGTAGGGACCGTCTTTGTGAAAGACAGTGGTAACTCATGTCGAAGACGCCTTGGGTTATACATCCATGGCAAATCTGGCGCGCATGACCATGAACACATCATTGCACAGGCTTTCTTCGGCCAGTGCACTAACTCTCCAAACGCCTCTCACAAAACTGTTTGCAACCTTTATATAGGCCTATACTGGACTTTTAGTAGGGTACCCAGTGGTAGCTGGATCAGACAGTGTAAAGAGAAAACAAATTCGTCTCAGATCTTGAAAAGGTTTCGTCGAAACCATGGGGTGGTTTTCTCGCCAATTCGTCTTGTGGCCAATCGCAGGCCTTGCAGCTCATTATGCTCATTGGGTGTGCCAATGAAACAGCTTGGGATAACCACGTCAGCTGAGTCATGAAAGTCCAGGTCCGAGCCCGGTGTAATAAAGCAAGAAATCAAGCAGCGAATGAAGAACTTCCAACATAACCACTATCAATAGTCCAACACTTTGGCAAAGCTCCAACATCTTCCCGAGAGATCGCTTCCTCGTCTGGCACTCGACCCTCGAACAGCAGCCAACCCGTGTTGCCGAACCATCTTGGCATCAACATATGATAAACCCAAGCCTGATGCAAGCTTTTTGACGGGAGAGGAGTGGAATGATGGGGCAGGAGTGGAAGCCCAAAAACTGATGTTTTGCTCTTTGAGATCGTTTTTCGTGCCCAAAAACGGCCTCCGTATCGGACCCGTTCCGCTCCAAGCCGCGAAAAAGACATCGAACAGGGGATGCTCCACCATGCGTCGAAAACGCTGGCGCCAGGGAACCCTCCCCAACATCTCCACGTTCACCGCGTCCTCTGGAGATGTGTCACAAGAATGTCTTCAGGTGACTCAAGGTGACGAGTCCGGACCACTCCTCCAATGAACCAACATGGAAGTGGACACAAGGTGATAGAAGGTGAGATTGTGTCACAGGCGCCCCGTGAAAAGAACCAAGGCGTCCCGAAACCTGATGCAGCATGATGCAGCAACTAATGCCGGTGGATAGGTTCCAAATCCTGCAGGCAACACTCAAATTAAGATGGATCCCCATTGGCCTGCTTCCCGGACCGGTCCTTCTTGTGAAACATGTTCCGCACATGCGTCGCATGTGCCGACAGCGCTTCGTTCTTCATCTGCTGGTCTTCATTGGAATGACCTGGGGGGTGTTTTGCCATTATGTCTGTACGCCATTATGTTGATGCCTGTAGTCACTCCATGTCAGCGTTTGATGTGAACACCCCACACACGGACCAGCAATCAGCAAGGGAAAAAGAATCAAAACACCTTCAGTCAGGAAAGGATTTGCTATCTTCCGAACTCAAACCATCTGCAGACTCGTGCTACTGACATCTACTGACTATGGGCTGCACGTTTCTTTTTGTATCACAAAACGACTTGAAACATGAAATCATAAACCCTCCCAGCAGTTCAGGATACCAAAACTAGGCCCAAAGCACGTTCATCCATCCTCCCTACCAGTAGGGAATGGGGAATGCGGGCCAACAACATGCGGGAACATAATAATAAGGATAAACAAGGTGCCTCCTTGCTAGATGTGGTTTAGGGACTGAACTCCACCAATAATCAATGAACTACTACTCAAACTTGAATCCCATCTGAACTGCCCACCCAGGGTCCCACTCAAATGCACCCTCTCCAGAGTTGAACTAACATCTGGAGCCTTGATCCACCCACTGCAATCTGGGCATGATTGGAGGGAATCTCTACAAGGATGCGCAAACAACCAACTCTGTGCGGGCTTCCCTTGCCCCAGTAAGGTATCATAAGTTCATACACCTTTGTACCGTGGTGGGTGCCATCTCCCTGCAACTACTGGCATCTACTGCCTACATCTGACTACCGGTCGCCATGCATCATCCAGTCTGAATCTGAAAATAAACAAGAGGCTTTTGAAGAGCTGTGGTCTTTTGTTCATTTTCGGCAGCTGTCCTCGCAGAACAGTGCTGAGAGTCCACGAGCCGCCTCAACAGGATGTGCAAGTCGGCTCGGTGATTCCCGAGCGAAGATCTGTGAGTGGGAAGGAAGGTTTCAGGACCGAAACCCGGAAGCAATGGTCATTCAGTTCTACTTAGTGTCCATGGTCATGTTACGTAGCCAATTCTCCCGCTGCCCACAGTGCATGCGGGCGACCAGGGGTCTCGTGGGGGTGCGCAACCAGGACCGGACATGGGGACGATCCACCATTTTTTGATTCTCAGCAGGTCTGCCATCAGTAGATCCTCATAGTGAAAACCTGGCGGCTCCAAGCAGCACACAGCAAGTCACCAGCCCAGTCTGGGACATGAGGCTGGAACTTTGAACGGTCCAAGCCCTAGTGTTTTGGGCTGGTGGCTTCTGCGGTGGTGGACCCACCGAACACGGATCGTCGAGCTGCCCCGACTCCGCTGCCCGGAAGACCTAATTAGACTGGGCTGCTCCAGACCATTCCAGAACGGAGGGTGTGGAGGGCCCCCCAGTGAAACTGCCTTCCGGGGAAGGCTATCATGGGGCAGTGGGGTGCATCTTCTGACCAGCCAAAATCTGCCTTTACGGAACTCATACAACGGTACTAGATTCTGGGTGTGTCAAGCGATCATGGGTCTGTCAAGCGATCATCAGTTTTGGCCGTTCACTGGCTCACTCAAGTTTTGCCGGCACTCTCGCATTCGCGAGCAGCACACGTCTGGGGACTTTTGCCCTTGTTATGTTAGCATGGTGCGGCCAACGGGCACTTGATCGAGTCACGAGGAACAGTGAGGCACCACCACCTGTAGTTTGTCACCCTGGCTCTTTTTCTGACTGGGAGCTGAAATGAGCTCTTGGACTCTTGGACTTCTTTCCCTTGAAAAGACCTCTCTCTCAGCAAGGTTAGCGCAGTGTCATGACCCACCATAGGTGGCAAAGGCCAAACCAAACCCAGCCACAGGCAAATGGTGTGGTCACCCTGACCCGCCAGGAAACCTGGGCCCCCCCTGAGACTTCAGAATCCTGCATCCAAAAGAAACAAAACAAAGAAGCGGTTCCACTGAAGTTCGTTTCAACGCTCCGAGTTACGTATTTTTTGCCCAATGACTCCCCAGCTAACAACGTCAAACGGGGAAAGCCAAGCTTTCCACTAGATTGGAATTAAAGATCCTACTAAACCAGAAACAGGGCCTTCAGGCGGATTCATTATCATGGAGATTTGCTGACCGAACGGACCCAAAATTAGTGGTCCTCCAATCCAGAGTTGAGAAGGCAAAAAAGGCTCGCCCACCAAATGGCTGCACATTGAGCAGGGTTCAACGGCATCAACTGACATGACTCACATTGCCGTGGGATCAAAACCCGGACCCCTATAATCCTTGGTGGTTGACCTCCCTGCGATCTATCCTTGGTGGTTGACCTCCCTGCGATCAACCTGGGTCCCCCTCTTTGGACCCACTGCCACATGGCGATGGGAGTGAATGTGCATGTGATGGGTCCCCACGTCACGTAGTCTACGCGTCCTGGCTGTGCCATTTCCTCTGTGACCTCAGGCCTTGGGCGGTGAGACCAACCTGACATATCTGGCACTCTCAGTGGATGGATTTGGAAACCTAACTTGAAACCATGTGGCGTTGCTAGCAAGGGGTTGGGGAGCTCCCTCTAGCTCCTTGGTTCCCTGTGAGGAATATGGATACCCCCGACTCCTTAGCCCCCTCCTGTCTAGGTTGACCTCTCACTTGTACAATGTGCATGTCCTCACTTGCTATTCCAGCCTAAGGCATTCTGGGGGATGTTTGCTATCGTGGGTGGTTTTCAAGTTGACATTCAGTATATATAGGCCAACTCTGTAACAATTGTTCATTGTGAAGGTTACCTCGGCACTTGTGCTCTTTGGTCCAAATCCATCCCATGAGGCTAATCCTCAGAGGTTCCACGACATCGGATTGTCCTAACGACCAGTTGGGGTAGTGCGCGCACCTTCGACCTTCCTAAAAGAAGGCCAGTTCGTTCAGCCGCTGCAGCTGGTTCGCCGAGTTCACCGATCCTGGCATTGGGGAAAATCCTTCACTTCTGGCAGAAGTAAGGATTCAAAGCAGTTTGCCATTTTTTTAGAAACACATCAGGGACACGAGGCCGAATCCCCAGTGTGCACTGGTGGATGCATAGTTGGAGATGCACAAGCCAAAAAAAAAAAGAACTTGGCTGGTGGCTTGGCTGGTGGCGATCCAAGATGATCCAAGGCTTCAGTCATGTGCGGCTTAAACAAACACGGCTCTTGGCGATAGTTCTGCCAAAAAAAAAGCACCATCTGTCTGTTGGTCACTAGCTGATCTGATAGCAAATCCAAGACCTGTACTCAAAGAGCTTCTTGATTTCTGCTGCCTTTGGACATTTTAACGTCGACCCGCGCACCTCACCGGGCTGTCAAGGGAAGCTGCATGATCATGGCATGCCCGGGGTTAGGCACGAAGGTGGGATCCACCTGTGCCATGCCGTTCTGATTTGGTTGAGTTCGGCAACTGCCACGGTTCCCATTGCTCTTCCTGGGCATCTCACATTTTGTGCTCCAAAGGAAGCATGAAAACCCAAACCTGACCCTCAGCTGCTACGTCTTCCCCAAACCTGGAAGTGGTTTGCAAGGTTGGCTTGCGGTAGGATTACGCTAGCTGTGCAACGACCATATCAGTGCCGTTTCGTGATCGGGCCAGCGGTATGGCAAGTCAGCTGACTCACCTCGGAACAGTTTGTGAAATCCATGCATGCCAGAATATAAGAGCTATTAACTAATTGATATATGTGCACGTGCATGTATGCATGTATTTTCTTCAAAGCACTGTCGGGGAGAGGTGGCATGGCTGTATATTTTGGTCCTTGACCGCAAGCTTGTGAAGAAGAGACAAAAACACATTATTCATATATACATTATATACAGTAAATAGCATGTATATACATACTTATACATATTAGGTTCCAAATAGCCACATCAAGCGATGGCACAGGCCTTTCCACGTTGCCTTTTGCCAGACTTTTAAACAAAATCTACATACCCCAGCCCTGGCATTGTGATTGTATATTGGCATTGCACTTGCATGCACTTGCAGTTGCATCTGTTTTTTGTATTCGTTTGTCGTCTTCCGTGTCGTCTTCTCCTTCTCCCGTTGCCTCCCATCTTTCTCTCCCGCCCGAATGACCCACACATCCCATCTTACTCATCAAACTCCCTTTCGTGCTCTGCTCACACTCCATCCATGCTCCCTTTCGTGCGAGTGTGAGCAGAGCATGCACGGCCTTCATCGCCTTGGGCAATTGCTGCCGGCTGATGGCCGGGCTGGGCTTCCCGTTGAGGCACGTGGCCTCGTGGGTGAGGCAATTGAGATCCTCAGTCGGTGGAGCCCAGCTCCAGAGCAGCAGCCATGTCGTCTCGTACCAACAAATGACTTTTTGCGTGACTGGTGCGCTGGGAATGCTAAGGTTTTACATGATGAACTTGGACATGCTATTCTTTCTTGAGGTGCGACCTGAGGTGACAACTAAATACGAACCTTAATGAAAAAAGAAACCTTGCACGTCCTGGTCCCAGAGTCGATGTGCAACGCGCATGTCTTCTCTCGCAAGTCCTCCTTCAACTGCTCCTTCTTCTCCTGTGGCATGGCCGCGCCACGCAAACATCGCAGGTGGAGTCTCGAGGTTCTATGACAAAGCCATATATTACAAGTCTAAGTACATAGTGTGCAGTAGCATATATAATACTGTACATGTTCTTTGGGTAAAGTATGAGTTAACGTAATGATGTGTTAATTTATGTTAAGTTAAAATGACCATATATTAGTTACACTATGCCACTATGCTGTACCGGCGCAGTATTGTATATATAGTATTACAGTATATAGTTGCGGACAGGGTACGGCACAATGAACGTTCTCCATGCCAAATCCTAAATTTTAAATTGATGTAACCTCTCCGAAGTCCGGGTGCCTCTTTCAAGCAACATGTCATACAGTTTCCACACAGGGTCTTAGGCGGTGAAGTTTCAGGTTCTCAAGTCTTCCAATTCTATCCCTTCATCAGCTGTTCGAATGGTCTGGTAGTAACGACCAGTAACGGAGGCGCGTTACCGTAAGTCCTGGAGGTCTTGCAGGACGCTCTTCTCATTCTGATGATGCTGCCTCAAATCCTCGTGGCACCTCAACAAGGTCATCTGATGCTCCTGGCAGAACAAGGTCACCGGAAGGGCTGCAAACCCGGCCCCACTTTGAGGGATGTTCCTCTCTGCGATCTTGGGAGGTGTCGAGGATAAATCCTGAGGCTTACATATTTCATCTGAATCTTTTGAACCAAGCAGCTGATACTGAAAAACATGAGCGCAAGCATGCACAGCAGTAGGGGCAGCATGAATGACCAATACCCGCCATGGTGACTCCTGCCCCCCAAACAGTAGGCCCACCCAAAACATGAGAACTTCATGATTAACGCAACAAGCTTTCCGCCACACTGACCTGATAACCAGGCCCTATATTGAGGTGGAAACGTTCCACACGAAAATCTCCAGGTTCCCCAAGCGTTGGCGCGCCTGCAATGTTGTGGTCACTGGATCTTGAATGTGCTCCCGTGCTGCACGCTGCTTGCGCCAGGAGGCACAGGTGGAAGTCAACTCCATTGGCTCTTCCAATGATTTGATTTGTGTCTTGGTGTCATGGATCGTGCTCCTTAGCGGATGGCGGCCCGATCTATCTACTTATCTATCTATCTAACCTGCAAATAGCACAGTGCACCTCCAGAACATGGCATGATGAAAAATATTACAGTAGTGGGTTTCACCTTTCAAGTGTTGACAGTCCCTAGGTGCGAGGGTATGCTTGGTGGAACCAGGTCTAGCATGAAGCTGCAGCACGATGCTTCGCAGCGACTGCGAGTGAACCACAAGGTGAGGCTTGCCCGGGTTGGGTCGGGTCAAAGCGAGCAATTGCAGGTCCAAATCGCCCAAAAAAAACAATCAGCTGGGACTTTAACTAGAGTTGTTATACAATGCAACCTTGATGACCACTTGGGGGGCTCATGACAGCATCACAAAATAACAAAAATAGTCTTGCTTGAAGGCAGCGCTCTTGGTCATGTTGATCTGGTTGCAAGTCTCTCGTAGTTCTTGTTCCAAGCGCCTCCTGACATGTTGGTTCTCGTTCACACGCTCCTTCCTGAGCCGCGAGCAGCAATCATTGGAGCAAAGCATCCAAGCCCAGTGGACATGTGCAGAATGCCAGTTCTCAAGATCATTATAGAATTATCCGATCCAGGTTCAAACCACACATGAATCCCAATGATATATTCAATCAAAATGCTGCTTCCTCTTCTCTTCCCACCTGGCCCCGCCCCCCCCAAAAAAAACACGAGAAACACAAAGAACATCAAAGAACTCGTTTGTTCCAGGGACTTCGAGACATCCATCCATCCATCCATCCATCCATCGATCCATTTGCCGAGGCTCATGGACTTCTGGGACTTCTGCATGGCCTCCTCAGCGCTGCGCTGCGTGCGCTGGATGAGCTTCACGGCCTCGTCCCGGAGCTCCTTGGCCTCGTTCCGATGGACGTGGTGGGAAAGGGGGGGGGTTTTGGATATTTACATTTGAGCTGGATGGATGGTGGATGAGCCTCACAGCCTCAGGTCATGGGTGCGATGTTGAACATTTATGGATGGTCGATTCGAATTTCTGGCGGGAGGACTCAGGAGTGTCTCAAAACGGGACTCGTGACTCATGTGGGCACAACCCTTGCGATGATTTTCCGAACCAAGCTGCGGCTTGCTCGCGATGTACGGCTGATTGATTCAGCCTCAACGCCTCCTGCAGTCGGGCTAAGGTACTTAATTACGAAGGGTCCTTCCTTCTATTTTCTACATACCTTATCTCTGAACGTCCTTGCAAGTGCATGTTTGCACTGATTGGCGATTGCTGTCACCTCTGACAGACTAGATTCTATAGATGAAGTTCCGCAATCCAAAGCCGCCCGATAGCTTTTTGGGCACAAACAACGGAGGCAGCATCTCTGATATCAAAGGGGTGCTGACCAACCGTGACAACAGCCCGATCCGTCAATCTGCAATCCATAGGACCCTTGGCAAGCGCATGCAAATGCGATACGGGACTCAAACGCACATGAAACTTCCGGTATGAGTCATGAGCAAGTTCGAACTCCCAAGGTTTGGACACCTTGAAGTCTGGAAAGCAAGTACTCACACAGGCTTCGATCAGGGAAGTGGCCCCGGTTTTTGTCCAGCAGACAACCCTCGTGTGATGCCCACCCCTTGATCCGAAACCCTTCTTGAACCCATCAGATGACGGCACCCCCAGAATCCCACCTCATCCTCGCACCTTCCTGGCCCACATCCGGTTTCACTCTCCTCACAGACCTCACAGACCTCCACCTCACCCCATCCCCGCCCATCCCCGCAATCCCCGCACTCGTTCCGTCCTGTTGTCGCAAGACCTCGTTCCTTGCGCTCTCGTGCACTGAGACCTCGTGCCGCGCCGCCTGGGCGCCCTGCGTCCGGCGTCGCGCCTGTGAGGCCGGGCGTGAGGCATAGGACGGGCTGCCCGAGGGCCTCCTCAAAGCGGTGCGCAGCGCACAGGTGGTTCGAAGTGGTGGTGGCTCAGGTGGAGGCTGAGCAACATGTGGTGAGGTTTAAGCATCCCAACACATCTTGAGGAACAACACCCTCTCAAAAAACCATGCCATCTTCTGATTCTCAGGCATGGCGCCATGATCTTCCCCAAATGAAATTCACCCGATGTTTACCGCTCCAAAACCCGAGTTTGCCAGGCGTCATGAACGTTGAACGATCCGAGACCGTCTCCAAACTCCGCGAGGTGGTTCGCAGGCAAAGCTCGTCCACCGAGAGGGCCTAGCTCCGTCGGCGTCCGGTCGGACGCACCGCGGGCCCCGAAGGTGGTTGGCACGAACTGCGACAGCTACCAGGACCCTCCAACAGGTGTCTGTTTGTACCCTCTTGGAGGTTAAGAGGTGTCCCAAAACCAATTGTTGGAAGGTCCTGGTAGTGTTTTTTGGATTGTGGCCCCTCCCCTTTCCACCTGGAAAGAATGACCGGTTGAACTTATCTTCATAGGGCGTCCCCCCAAAAAATACAGGAATCAAAACTAAAAAGACACCTATAGGACAATTTTGTACAGTATGGAATCCGAATTTAGATCGTTTTGGTAAATTTGCATAATGAACACTTGAACGAACCTTCAAAACGAACGGTCTTCCCTTTCCCCTTACAAAACCCAAACTGAGACCTAGCAGGTTGCAAAATTAGTTTTAGTTTGAGGGGTGGAATGAAGCTGGGAGCTAGGTGCTAGGAACCAGTTGCCAAGTTTGTTGCTCTTATGTCTGTTTGCTTCAATCCAGCCTGAGTCTTCACCTGGATATCATGGCGAAGTTCTTCCAGCCTCATCGGGCGTCAAAGAAACTACCAGTACCCCCTCATCCGACCCTGCGGATCGTGTGAATGCGTGTGAAGCTATGAAGCTTCTTGTTACGTACTAGTAAGGCACTTGTTACTAGAAGCGATGCACTTGTTCCTAGTAGCGAACATTGTTTTTTTAAAGCTTCGTGTGAAGCTATGAACTCTCCTTGTGAAACTCCAGACTTGTGCGACCGAGACAAACTCATCCCGCGGACGGAGGAGGGACTATATAGTCTTGCAGAGTCCAGCCAGAACCACAAGGGAAAAAAGGGGTCCTAGTTCCTATAGTTCATTGTTTCAAGTTTATCGAGTCAAAAATGCCCACCCGGCTCTGCACGTAAAGAAATCACACAAGGGATCCATATCCCATTCTGTTCAATCCCACACTACCTGAGAGGCAGCTCCTCGGCAGCTCCAAGAAGCAAGCTGTACTAAAGAAGCAAATGCACCAAACAATGCAAAACAGTCTCGGATGTCTCAAATGATGGAAGCTCCCAATGGACTCTCAAATGCTTCCAGCGATGCTTTGACCATTCCAATTCGCGCATGGTCAGAGTGCCGTTTGCCCAGTCTCCACCAAAATGGACTGAATCTCTCAAAGGCGCTTGGTCTCCAAAGCATGGATGGTTGCCTTGGTGGTCGACTCATTGCTTAGGGTATCCAAAAAAAGAATTGGTGCACAAAACAGCCACAGCCAAACGGCTTTCTCTGGCCAAAACACCTCCACAGCCTGCCCTTTTCGGCGGAGATCCAGATCTGGGAGCTGACTGCCACAAACTGAGGATGTTCGGAGATAGATGGAACTATAGTAACTATAGCTATGATCTCTCTCTCTCTCTCTCTGGGCATCCTTGCATTTTGGCATCATTCCATTCATTCGCACATGTTCCGAAGCAAATGTCTCGGTGTGAGACAAGGGTGGTCATCACACGTTAGGATGCTGATTATTTAAAGTGTTTCGCTTGGTTGATCTGTATGTTGATCTTGTATGATGAGTGGAACGCGGAAAAAGGTTGGACATGTCGTTGTATCTGACCGCCGGTAATCTTCAGACTCAACCCCCCCTTCCCGACACTAGAAGCCATGCAACTTTTGTTTTCTTGATGAAATCCTCGCAGGGCATTTGCCGAGAGAGTCGTCCAAACGCACGTATCGACTACACGACATTTATATATCCAATAGAATGCAACAAACCTCTGACCTATGATTAAAATTGAGGAACAACCAATGACCATACAATGACAACAGCATCTGACAGAATTGCAACTCAAACATGCTTGTCTGAACAAACGCATATCTGATAAACTCATGAAATTCACCCCCTCTCACGAAGTCAACTACAAATCACAATGCGTTGAATCACTGAGAAATGGACAATGGACAATACATCATTCAAAACCATTGAATCATCAAACAAATAGTATATGCACAAATTGCATACTGCATCATACTACCATGCATATCCATGTATACATCCTTCCACTATCTTTCCATCCCACCAGCAAAACACCTTCACCTCCCCACCCTCTCCAGCTTTTGGCCCACCAGCAAGCCAAAAACAAAAAAGCTCTCGACTCCATGGAAAGCGACCAGTTTCCTCAAGTGGCAGTCCTTGAGTTTCCTCTGGGCATCCACCAAGGTGGCCTTCTCCACTTCGAGACACACCTCCGCGGTGTCGCGCACCTGTTCCCTCAGGGGCCGTCGTTCCCGCTGCTCCATGCGCCAGGTACATAAGGTCAACGGCGCCTCCTGGCGACGGCGCAGGGGAATCCCCTCACCCAAAAAGGGTCGAAGAAAAGGGGAGTTCTCAGTGAGAATTGTAGCCTCAGATGATGTACTTTACGTAGGCACCTTGCACATAGAGAGCCTAAAGAGATCGGATTGAACCTCTACTCCACCCAATTTGTTAAAACTTGTCCAGGAATGTCAACACGTTGAACGGTCTTTTAACGTTCTTTTTTCCCGGGGTCCTTGGCGATGAGCGCTTCTTCAAGCTTCGCCAAGGTCTGCCGGGTGTGTTGCAGGGAGTTCTCCACCTCGGTGTTGGACACCGGGGAGCGGAACACTGGAGAATCACGGCAGAATCGGAAACAGCGTCCAGGGCCCAGGGGCTGCCAGAAGAAGGGGTTCGGTTGTTGATGAGTGTGAGTAGGATGTGACCAGCTCAGGTGTGAATCGGTTTCTCTTGTTCCTCCTTTTGATGCCAATTGAGAGAATGATCGGGTCAACAGCTGTCTAAGTGGGGTCCGGGAACAAAGTCAGGTTCCTGGGTCTGGGGTGTCAGTGAGGATCCTCCAATGATTTGCTGTCGACGGGTTGCCTGGTATGCACCAAACACTTCACAAGGGAGATAACTGAGATGAGATAACTGTTCAATCACACACTATTGACCCAGCCATGCTGTAAGCTTCCATAATGACGTACAAACTTTCTTGCCGTTTGCATTGAGAGACGGCCACCCGTCTACATTGTAAAGAAACTCAGAAGGCCTCACACAAGGTAACGTCGGAAGGAACTCCCCCCAAACCGACATGGAAATGTTTCAATCACTCCTGCTAGCCACCTTTTGCACTTTTGTTTGGTCGGCGTAAAGCTTTTTAAACCACAATGACAACCCATCATGAAAATGTATGAAAAGCATTGGGTGAGTCGTGGTGGGATTACAGTCAGCGGTTTAAGGCCAAACCAACGCCTTACTAGCTCCGCTCCACCCTTCGCTGGGTGCCGGCCGGGCACCGAGTGTGCTCGGTGTTGAAGCTTCTCCACAAGACGTTGAGAAGTCTTCACCTTGTGCTCCAGGGAGTTGTGCAGTTCCTCCAGCGCTGCGTGGCGTGACGGAGGATCATATGATGTTATGACTCCTTGGCATCCTACAAGAGAGGTTGAGAGACCATATAGGACCCAGTAGTGGTACATATGGGATGGGCGACAAAGGGCTGTTCAACCTCTCTTGGTTGAGGAGAATAATTCAACAGTCGGAGCATGAGGACTCAGCTGAACATGCTGAAACCAGTTCACCACTGCCAGTCGAGGCGAGGCTTTGGGGGTTGATCCCGGTGTTGCCGAGTCCTCCCGAACACAGGCTAAGCTAGAGAGTAATTGAGTGTGACTGATATAACAAAAAGTACACGGTGCAATTGGGGCAAAACTCAAACGACTCAAAACTCAAAACAGCACACAAATACATCCTGAATCATGTAAACAACTTGGGATGCTTGATCCACCATTTACCCAGCCCTTGTTCTTACACTTGCGCAACGAGGCACAGAGTACATGCCCATGTTCTCGGTCATCACTTCACCATGGGCCCGACTGGATCGATCTTGTTGATCCATGGCCTTCCGGTGTGCACTCTGCGCTTGGTACATGTTGTACTGGGCGCCTGAGTCCAAGCGCGGCGTTCTCTTCATGGAAAGCGTACACATTGGGCGGCTTCTGTCAGAGCTGGACAGATGATGACGCACAAAAGCTGAGTCACATGCTGACATTGCACTCAAATGCACTAAGTCATGAAAAAAGGTGCGCAGGCTGGATCATGTGCTACAATCCTAGCTGCAAGAACACCAAGGCACTTTGCGCCCACTCCTGCGTAGTGTGCATGCTCATCTTGGCCGGAAGCGCTCCCTTGATCACCCGGCCCACTTGAGCCCAAGCTTGACGACATGCAAAGCTGACCAGTGTGCCATGCAAACGATATACACTATTTGATTCTTCGCATTGTTGATTATGGTAATCTCAATGCCTTCCACCACTTCAACCCACCTTGGCCTGCCTACCTGTAGACGCTTGCTTGCCTTGCTTAATGGGAGCAGTAGATCACACGTGGGTCGAAACTGCAGGCTTTGCTCGGAGATTCATCTCAGTCTGGACTGCTTCTGGAACCTGAACTCCAAAATGACTCCATCATCCATCTCTTTCTTTCTTTCTTTCTTTCTTTCTTTCTCTCTCTCTCTCTCCATCGCCATCAGTCAAGACTACCATCATACTCCATCATTTTCCCTACGCAATATTCCCCAAACCTGATTGTTCAGGGAAATTCACCGTATTTCGTCGGAATCGTATTCTCTGATAATCCGCATCTTCCTTCAGTACCCACCTTTCCCACTCTTCCCCTTTTGTCTCTGGTCCTCCATCCCCCCCAAAAAGAAAGAACCCAAACACCAACTCCCAAAAGCCGGCCCAAAAGCCCTCGCTTTGCGCTCGCTTTGCGCTCGCTTTGCGGCGCCTGAGGTGTCCTGAGAGCCCTTGCGTGCGGGCGCCTTGGACAAGACCGGCTCGCAGGGCTCGGGCGGCTCGATGAGCTCGATCTCTGGGAGCTCCAACCGGCGGGTGACATCTTCCCTCGGCTGCACGAAGAAATGGACGGGAACGGCCGGAGGTTGCCTTTTGGGCGATCAATTGTATTGAAAATGAGTTCCTGTATGACTGTATCAGGAAATTGGTTCTCTAGTTCAATGTTGATTTGAAGCATCTCGTTGATCTGGCTGTGCCGTTGGCAATTCACAACTCTGTGCTGCAGTATGTTTTAGGTTTGAGCTCAATAACTCTTTTGGTCAAATAGCTGCCAATGCCATTCCAGGACCAAATCAAAGTGTTTTCCAGCTATGGAACTGTCTGGTGGCAGTGGTATGCTGCACATGGTTTAAGCATGTTTAAGCTGCAAAGCCCGTGATGATTCGATACGTCATGTTGAATGACTTGGCCAACGAACAAGGGCAGTAAGAAGGATACAAGGCATGTCCATTGCATGTCAGAGCTCCACAGCTGTTCCACCGCAGGTCTTTTCACCTCCCCCGACAACGCTCCGCCTTGAGCTGGACACATCATCTCTGGTCGAACGGAAGGAGGGCATGTAGGTCTCCCAAAAGGGCTTCCTGCAGGTCTCACAAGTGTCATGAAGTGTCACCAAGTGTCCAAGTGGCAAGTCGTGGTCAGCTAGGTTCATCATGCGACAACTCCTAGGTCATCCCGACAAAACCTCGGGCGGACCACGAGTAGATCCTCGGTATTCAACGCACCCGAGGCGCTCCGCAAGTGCCAAATCCGTTCAAAAAAAAAGGGTCTGCAGCTCAGTCTTTAGGCAAAGCATGGCAAAGCCCTTGACGGCTCAAAGTCAAGTGTTGCTTCAGAATAGTGGGATAATATGGAATAATATCAAAGCATTGATGCTTCACCATGGTGTACAGCTTCACCACTCAAAGGTTGCTTGGCCAGCATCATGTTGCGTGTTGTTCAATTTCAATCCAGTTCGAGTGCTGACTTCCACTTCCAATGGCTCGTCTGCCATATACAAACTGAGTAATTACTCTGAATCACCCGTCTCTGATCACCGCACTCCTTGTTGACTCCTGAAGAACCCTGGCCGCATGTGAATCACCCGGGCAAGGCAAGGGACGGCTGACCCCACAGGGCTGTCCCCCCCGGCGTGGAACCGCGTTTGACTCGCGAGACAACCGCCGTCCTCTCCGCCCGAGCAATGCCTCAGTTGAGATCCCCAAAAATGGGCTCTGGATGACCAAGCAAATCAAAAATCGTGGCCGCATGTCGGCCAAACAAAGAATCACAAGTCGACCACAACCAACTTCTGTACTGATTGTATAAATAAGAACTGTGTATACGAGTACTGAGAGTTTTGATTTCAGCTAGCCTTCTTCATCTTCAAACCCTGAAGATGAATCATGTCATGCCCAACTTCCCCAGCCACCCGCTCCGTTCCGGCTCCGGCCTCTGGGTGCATCTGCCAGGGTCTTGAGGAGTTCATCTTGAGCATCAAACCTCCTCATGATCGTCTCAAAGTGTTCCTTCAACATCTGAAGCCTCGGCGCGCCATGGACCGCCATGGGACATTGGCATCAGACTTGTCCTCACATCAGACCTCACACTCCCCGAATGGGGCTCAAGGGGCTGTGGACAGCGCAGCGGTGGCGGGAATGCGAGGGCCATTAGTAGATGAGATGCTCGGGGACTTGAAGAAAATGCTCCCAATACTCCTAATGCGTTGGCAGGTGGTACCGTACTACTCGGAAAGTCATGGAGCACCTGAGCATCCAACAGTGACGAAAGGTGGGGTCCGTCCTGTCCAAACATCTACACAGTACTGTAAAATGATTTGTGCCCAAAAACGCCGCATGGCGCGGCCAGCTCCAACATCATCGGATTTACCAACCTGACCCTGGTAGAGTGCTCCAAAGCATCTATATAGGTACGTCGTTTCTGGTTTCACCCTGCGTCTACTACGGATGCCTCCCCTCATGAAAGGGATCTGAAAAAGAAAGCAAATCGATGCACCTTTGCCAAAAGGACACCACCGGGAATGGTGGAACACATTGAATCAAGTGGAATCCCCAGATTGAAAATCTCTATCTGCACAATTCCGATCCCGCTTGTGTGTCATAACCTACGGCAACTGAATCCACCGGGCATTGTTGAGGCCTTTTTGTTGACAAAGCCCTTGACCATATATGATATAGAATTAATCAACATGTTGTCCAATGTCGTGCAAGTGCATGATGGTATCCAGTTGTCACACCGTCAGACTGGAAGGTTTTGTAGGGCTACCATGCGCAAGCTAGACATAGAGGTCAATTCATGTTAAGTCTAAATGTGCCTGAGATGAACTAAGAAAGGAAAACACACATAACAACGCGTTGGTCAGGGGAGAGGCATCACGGGGCTCCAGTTCCTGTCCCGCTGATTTAACACAGCATCATCACCCATGTCCTTCCGATCTCCCTATGTCCTATGTCTCTGCTTGATCCCTTGGGCTTGCGACATGGCCGTTTCGCCATTCTCGTGCATCACATCCTGGAAGTGACCAGCCAAGACACGCCCACCGACAGTCTCAAGTGCGAAGCACCCAGGACGAAGAACAAAACACAGCGGGGACAAATGAGGTTCAACAACCGTGTGGTGTTTCTTGAGAACCGCGGGAAACAGGTGGTCAAAACGCATTGATGGGAAACAGGTGATTAGATGATGCTCCGGCGTTCGTCCTAAGTGAGCCACTTGCATATTGCATTCTTTGATTGGAAGGCAAATGACAGCGATGGCGATGCCTTGCACCAAATGGGTGATACCGGCATCATTCGCAAACAGTTGCAACACTCAAACCATCTCATACCAACAAATCAATGGGTTATCAACCTAAAGGCCTAACTAAGAAACTTCACACTTTAGACTTTTGTCGTTGAATGTA